CCCATATACATTTACAGTATAGTTATGAATCAATTTAATATACCAACATGATTATTTTAGGAGCAAACCAAATTATGCAAAATATTGTTTACCATAATTTATTTTTTTGTTCCTAAAGTAACAGTGAACTTCGATCTGTTTAAAAAAAATCTATTTTTATTTCTATTTTTCCACAATATGTCTCTTCCAGAACATTGAGAAAAATATAAATACTTTTTTCACTTCAATGTTTCCCCAAATTTTTATTGGTATTAATATTTGTTTTACAAGGATCATGCACGCATTTACTTTAGCATGTAAATGATAATATGTATTTCATTCCAAGTAGGACCAGTAACCATCAGCTTTCCAACATCTGATTAAAAGCTCTAGGTTCTATGATCTACAATGCCTTTTTTCCACATGTATAACTTATGCATTCAAAGTATGATTAGGTATGTTTCTTGAATTATGAAAATGTAAAACCAGGCATACACACTCACTATATTGCCTATAGTTGTTAAAGACTTGCCACACTAAAACATAGAGAATATGATTTATGAAGCACTACCAAGTTCCAGAGTTTTTGAAGGAGCTACGAAATTTATCTAATGAATAAAGTAAATATGACTATAAAAACCCTTAAATATCATTTCCATATTTCTTTTTTTCCCTCCATCCCAAAGTTTTATCCATTTTAGATTGGAGAGATTTAGAGTCAGGCAAATTTTTATCAGGAGTTCTGCTGTACTCTTGGGGTAGAAGAACTCAAAAGGTGCTAACTGAAAAAGTAATACAGTAAATAAAGGTATGTTAAAAAATAATTCAACTAATTAAACAGTTAAAGTCAACCACTAACTAATTTAAACAAAACCTGGCTAGGAGAAAGGTCATAAAAAGCAAAAAGAGAAGGGACTGAGCACAAATCCTAAGGGAATTCATTCCATACATTATCCAATGTTAATACCTAGGAAAGTAAAACTCAACTTCCTTTTTCAAAATAAATATGTTGGCCACTGACTTGAGGGAAAAAAAAGGATCGAGATTGCTTTTCCCAAAGATTCCTAGATTCTATCCTGGACTTTTAAAACTACTCCATAGGAAGGATACCTAGTAAGTCTAGCTTCACTGACTAAACAGGAGGGAGAAACCTAACATGCACTAAATTTTTTCTCTCTAGTCAAATATACAACAGTCTTGCCTTAAATAAACTAGCCCTAACGTTAACAGGTATCTTTTGGTGCAATTTTTGGCTTCGCTATCATCAGTACAGACAAAAATGAATGGCCAATTGAGTCCCTGGTATTATAAACTAAACTTCTCTGAGTTATTTCAATTTTTTAAAAGAACTAAATTATCTTTCAATTAGATAAGTTAATTTTAAAATTAACCTTTGCAATTTCATTTACATTTATTTGTTACTATGGTAACTTTATATGTTCATTTTAAAAATAAACCACCATCCAAGATTTAACTTCCCAATACCAAGTATGGCACTCATTGTGATACTACATGAAGCAGATAATCTAGTAACGTAAAAGTCGTAACTCATGTACAGGTGGCCCTGGCTTAATAACCACTCATTCAACAACCCTTCAAACTTATGACAGTGCTGAATGAGTAGTACTTATCACCACTCCTTGTACTTTTGGCTGTTGCAGCATCCCCACAGTCACATGATTATGATCCAGGCACTCGGTGCCTGGCTCACAATTATGACATTGCAGTGTCCTGTGGTCACATGATCATCATTTGCAACCTTCTTTGTCAGCTTTCTACAGGCAAAGTCAATGGGGAAGCTAGCAGGTCGCAAATGGCGACCATGTGACATCTTTAACAACCCACGGTATTTCGCTTAATATCACATGACGTCGCACTTTACAACTGTGTTGCTTAGCGATGGAAATTCCAGTCCCAATTGCTGTCATTAAGTGAGGACTACCTGTAATTACTAATTTTCCTTTCCAAATTCTTAAACTAGGGTTCACACCCTCATCTATCCAGTGAACAGTATCTGCAACAAGGTGAAGAAAGGACCCAAAAAAAACCTGGGATCAGCCAACTGTCAGAATGCATACTTCTAAGCTGGATGGCCTAATAGTATGCCTCACCTTACATTCCTCTTTGTGGATTGGTGCCTATGAAGATGGTCCCTGAGACCACACTAAATGTAGGAACCATTTGTCAGGAGAATAAAATTAAAACTCAACTCCCTCTGGCAGTTCAGTATGGCTTCACTGAAAAATAGAGAAATACCTTATTTGGTCTGCAAAACTGCAGTGTCATTAAGAAAACTGTCAATGATATGTAGTGTGTAAAAACCAACTGGCTAAAAAGCAGTGCTACCCTTACCTCTCATGCATTCCTGTATAACCATGTCAAATGCAGAATGAAGTATGCTTTAGTTTGGAAGCCTCTGAGCACTTTTCTCACATGGCAATCATAATGCAAGAAAACCTGATAGTCCAAAAAGAACAAGCAATCTAGAACAGTGGTTTTGAAAGCTATTCTTAAAGCTAACAAGAATGAAACTGAACACGACCAAAGTGAGTTGGAACTCAAGCAACTACTTCAAAAAAAGTAATTTGTAAAATGTATTTATTAACAAATATTAAGTAGGAACAAATATCGAGAGTATCAGTTCTAGTTTTTCTTACTACATAAATACCAAATATTTGTGCAACTATTTAATACAACTTTTATAAAAGCAAAAAGCAAAGTCAGCAATTTTTATAGCTTACCGCATTTAGGAGAAACTTCATCTAACTTCCAGGGCAAAGCCCAAAATTTTGAAACAATCATATAGCCCTGTAATGGCACTCTATTATTCTATTAGACTGAAAACCTCTCAATATTTAAACATTTTCTAACAGCGTTTTTAACTGTAACTAAAGATATGTTGAGTTTTAAATCAAAAGCCTATGCAATTAACATTTTTATATAAAATTTCAACTCATATTAAAACTCTTACGCAAAATGCTAACTCTAAGGGCTACTAATATTTTGTCCTACATGAGCATCATAAAGAAAATTTAAATTCAGCTTACATGGGCCCAAAGAGCCACTGATTTATTAAATGATTCCAAACTAAGGATTTAAGGCTAACAGATTTTAATGTATGGAGAAATAAAAGAGTAGTATAAGGTTTCTCCACAAAACATTATTTACATAGTACAATGCTCACCTCTTCCACTGGGCATGGTCAGAAGCATATAAAAACAGCAACTTGCCTAGAGATTAACTGCAATGGGAATTCATGGCCTTCCCCTATGGCAAGATCCAACAGTTGTTCGTAGTGAAATATAGTAGGTCTACTCCTCATTAGAATTGCTTACTGAGAATAAGCAACCATAAAGAAAAGTAAACCTACTACATTTGGCTACAAGAAGACATACAAGCCCCTACTGCATTGCAAGTAATGGTCAAATATACTGCTGTGCACCCAAGTCAAAAAGCACCAGAAGAAAGTTGCTACAGCAGTACTTAATGACAACCATTGTCTGTAAGGAGGATTTATCATGTCTCCATTTTACAGATACTGAAATAATTCCTCTCACCATCACTTACATATTTAAACTGTTTTAAATGTTATTCTATCCCATATAACTTCTAAATATAGATCACAAATTAAGAAAAACCTCAAGGATTCAAATGCCAATTTAAAATGGTCTCTACACATATCATATGACCTCACTCTTCTGAAAACATATGGGAAAATATGGTAAAATAGCATGAAGTATCTATACAAGTGAAAAATGTACAAGTCACAATAAACTGAGATACAGAGTTATCATTTAACCACATTTCATGTTCACTTGGAATTTCTGCAATGCATGTTATTCTTGTATCTTTTGGGTTCCTTCATGAAATCTTATTCAAGGCTTCTCCAAGTTTCTCCGTGGCTTCTGTGTATGCCTATCATTTTTAGTATCTTGGATAACCTATTTTGCCCCTTTTGTTTTGCTGTGTAATAAAACAACAAGGCCTGTGTTATGTTTCTAAAAGTGCTGTTTGCATATTATCAAAAATATAAGTAGCATCTCAACATTTTGAACAGGATAAATTAAAACAGAAATCATAGGGTATTTTTCATTTACTATACTGTATCTTTAGCTTAAAAGATTAGCTAAAAGTTCTCATTCAAAGAAAGAAGTAGAAAATCCTTCATTTAAATTAGGATCTTCTAAAAAGCATCTTGATAAAACATCATACTAGCCTAAAGTTCAAAGATTACACCCAGTGCATAAGGAGGTTTCTGTTACAGAAGGTTTCCTGACCTCCAGGAAATTGAGAATCTCCTGAGGATCAGGAGCACTCTGGAAAGAATTGGGATGTAGGGAAGCAGGAAAACTGGATGGAATCACTTCAGGCTAATCCCCCCCACACACACCAGGGATGATGTAAAAACAGAAACATATCACCCTGAACTTGAGAAAAGGAACACTAATAGTGTAATTGCAGCTATATTGTTGGAAATTATTGGTTATGTTGTCTAAAGAGAGCCTGCTGTAGAAACTTAGTTGTGACAACTTAGCTTCATAGTTACAGATGAACTAGCCACAGAAAGGGGGACACATTCAAAGTAACAATTCCGTCTGGAAAAAGTCAACTACAGTTTCTCTTTAAAGATCCTTAGTGAGATACTTATGCAGGCAGATAGGCAAAATTTGTAGGGTGATATTTGTTGTATTCATTTCAAAACAGCTGGGAATTTCTAAAACGAAGCACATAATTTCTAGGTCATGATAAAAAATGAAACTGTTTACTGTGAATAACAGAATGCTATACAATATAGTTTTATTGTAAAAAGCAAAACACTATTTTACAATTCCAAATGAACAGAACTTATGGAAGAACTACTCCAATCAGTAGACTGACAAGATATTCTTAATTTTATCTTCACACTTTAGCAAACAATATACTTCTAAATTAACAACAACAAAAAGCACTATTTACTGTAATGATACAACCTAATTGAAGATTTTACAATGGTATTACATAAAAATAAATGTAGAAGTTACCTGTTTGTATTCACTAACACAGCTTTGGCAACAGAATCTTTTCGGCTCTCCATCAACCATAAGGATATTGTTTGCTGCACCTTTACTTGGAAGGTATTCTCCACAATGCTCGCAACAATTCATGATTAAACCATTTGCCATTCGGTATCGATTGAAGCAGTGATCACTACACAGCTTATGAGTCATGTTTTTAAAGCTAACTTCATGGCGTATCTAAAAGCAAAAATACAGTTTTATATAAAGAGCTAGATTTACTCTAATTATGAGTCTCAAGCATAACTTTAGGCTAATTGTTTAAGCAACCTGGAAACTGCCATTTCAGAAACAGAAGTGTGTACTGGCACTTAAAAGAATAAATGTTACACTAGAAAATGGTACATTATATAACTCAGAAAAATACCTTATTCTAAAAAGGGAGTAACATAGAGTTCTAGCCTCTTATAAGATTATAACGATGTCAAAGAATATGTTGCTTTATCATTATATTAAAATACTACAGAAATTTAATACTATATTTATGTTTAAAAAATGTAAGCCGATTTTCCATTTTATAAGTTAGTCTTACTTTAATTATATAAAATTAATGACATTTACAGATTTTAACAGAAATGTTTTTTTAAAAAATAAAAATGTAAGAATGCCCTTAAATTTCAATGTTCAAATGTAAAGCTCACTTCCTCTTTCTCAACCCTTGTTTGTCCTACTAGTCCTTCCCCATAGCAGCTTATTTTCCTTGGACAGCAGGCAATTAGCACAGCTTTGGTATACAACTGATCTGCCCTCCCTCTGAAAAATCATCTAAACATTATTGTAAAGATATAGGAAAATAGTGAGTGTGTGTGCGTGCACACATGTGCTACATATTGGTACTGCATGCTCAAATGTTTCAATTAAGAAATATTTAAACATTATGTTTTAAAAATCTGAAGGGGAAGGTCTTAGTAGATGCCCACAGGGGATTTTCCAAAGGGCTGTGTGGTGCTTTACTCATTCAACTCTAAATTTTTATGTCTTCTACTCACTAAAGATTACCATCTGTCAAAAGATGAAATGGAATGTATCAAATAAAATTTAATCCACAATTTGCAAGGAATCTTACCTACATAATCCATTGGACTGCTCTGATCAATTATATAATGATACTGGAAGTTTCCTAAGCAATTGAAATAAAAAGGATTTTAGGGTATCAGTGAAAAATAGCAAACAAACCTCAGTGAGTTTACCACAGATAGTGCATCTTGACTTATTTAAGATTCCTTTTGAGGGATTCTGTTTGTCTTCATAGAAAGACAAACATGATGTACTGCAAAACTCCTGGAAAGATTCACTTGAATCAACCTGAGCAACAATGGTTCCTTTCATTGTTGTTATGTCTCTGAAAAACAAAATCATTCTGTCTCAGTACTTTAGCAACCATTATATACTTTTTATTCACAGAAATTACAGATCTTTAAAGAAGACATGTCCTATCAGGTCTCTATGAATGTAATACTGGTTCTCAATGGAAGACAGCATAACTTCCTAACAAGAGTCCCTGTTTCTATTTTTAAAGAAAAAGCAATTACACTTTAAAAGAGTGATACAGATGAAAACAAATCTAACTGGTTAAACAAAGACTAAATAATTTCAATCCTTCTGGTCTTGTGAAGCCTTTAACAGGTTTATCTTTTGTACTGATGTAGCAACAAGACACAAACTCCAACAGCCTTCTTCTTCCCAACCCATTTCTCCCCTCACATTATGCTATTAATCGTGTTTTATACAAGAAGGACTGACTTGTCAATGACAGATAAAATAATCACAGTATGTTTTGTTACCAACACTTGAAGTGATACAGACACAATTCTTAATTAAGATTAACACCAAGAAAGATAGGAATATTGCTTTTGGAGGTAGAGAGGCTGGGAAAGGAACATGTTCTTTCAGCCAGTTTTTCATTTCACAATGTTTTACAAATAATTAATGTTATGTTTACTAGCCTTAAAAAGTAACCAGAAAACAATTGATGGAAGGAGATAAATTACAGGTAGTCCTCAACTTACAACCATTCGTTTAACTAACGTTCAAAGTTACAACAGCACTGGAAAAGTAACCTACAACCAGTCCTCACACTTACGACCGTCACACTCCCGGTCACATGATAAAAATTCTGGTGCTTGGCACCAACATGTATTTACAATGGTGCAGTGCCCTGGGGTCATGTGATTGCCATTTGCGACCTTCCCAGCTGGCTTCTGACAAGCAAAATCAATGGGGGAAGCTGGGTTTGCTTAATGACCGCATGACTCACTTAACGACTGCGGTGATTTGCTTAACGACCATGGCAAAAAAGGTTGTAAAAATCAGGCATGACTCACTTAATGACCGGATTACTTAGCCATGAAAGCTCTGGTCCCAATTGTGGGCGTAAGTCAAGGACCACCTGTATTCAGAGATAGACATACCAAAGAAATGCCAGTAGAAGCAAAGTACAAACAAAATTAGTCTTGTATGCCTCTTCTATTTATTGCTGACAAACACAAAAAATCAAACGATCTTTTTTTTTTTACTTACATTTATTAAGCAGATAAAGGACAAAGACTGAACAGCTATTCCTTTGTATTTCTAACTTTTGATAACCATTTAGTCATTTTTTGAGAAATAGCAACGTATTATGGATATAATTATTACTACAAAGTAGAGTTTTAAGTATAATTAACTTAATATACAATATAACTTGCAATATAATTATCTACTAGTTCACTGTAAACATTTGTCAGAGAAAAGGTGTTATATCAATCATTATGTGAACAGATTTCAATTACAAAATGTCACTTCTTTATGTCCTCTTCTGTGCACCTTCCCACCTTCCTACTTAATCTGCTACAGAAAACCACATTCTATCTGGAACAGATTTAGGAGGCATCAGATAGAAGGAAAAGCAATCCAATGAGTAGTTTGAATTCTGCAGATAAATGGACACATTTGGGTACTATGCATTACATGTTAATACTGTCAGTAGATTTGACCAATGAAACCTGGATTCATTAAAAACACACAAGGAATTTATTTTACGAAATGCTTATGTAGCCCTTGGTAAACTGCTGTCATCTGATGGACCAATGAGGTTGCCTTATGAGGCTGATGGAGCTATGTTGGCTTAGATAAGTTTCAAAATATTGTAATGATATCAATCTGAGCATCCAATTTTGGGCATTGTTTTAAAATGTCATTTTCACCCTGCAGTTGAATTCTTACATTCATTATCTATAGGACATGGCTCCACTTTATTTTGTTTTGATCTGTGTTCCCAACTCAGAGTATGCCACTGGAATTGTTCACTTTTGCTGTTTTTCAATGAAATAAAATTCAAAATGTTTCAAGTATTGTGCCATGGGGAAAGACATGAATATAAAGCTAGCTCCTTGCTCCAACTTTTGTCTTAGATAAATATATTGATTAGTCCAGGCTATCTACCTATTTATTTTAAAAAGGTTGAGAGTTTTTTTTAATGCAAGGATTTTTAACATTTCCAAGGTAAATAATGGAATCAAATGTTATATCTGCTGCCATAAACAGCCATAGCTCAGCAAAGAACTGAAAGTTCTTCAGCTCACCCAATGAACAATCTAATAAACAAAACAAACAAAACAAAGTAACCATCAAGGATTTTTCCTGATGCACATCAATACCTTTATATTTGGCCAGTTGCCTGCAACAGTCAATCTTAGCTCTTGCATCCGTATTTGGCAACCTGAAGTCTGAATAACAGCAACACTATTTCCAATGCCTATTTTCTGTATATTTTTATTCCTAGTCCAGATGCTTCCTGAAGTTAAGGTGTGAAATTTATTTAAGCTATGTATCTACAGATACAAGTATTTTCTTTCTTAGAGAAGACAATATAAACCAATTGTTACGGATCAAGTCTAGACTCATGAGTAATTACACATATCTTCCTGCTGCTCTCTCCCTCTAGTGTTATTAAGAGAACCTGCATTCAAAGGAAACAAGTGACTCTGCTTGTTGTCTGGGGGTGTTGTACCTGCACGTTTCCACATTACTGTTCATATGACAGGATAACATATCCTTCAATCACTTCAAAAAAGCTCAGATTTAATTACAAATAATGGTGACAAAGTTCTCCACTTTAATTGATACAGCACAATTGTTTGGAAGCATTCTGAAATATGACAAGAAAAACTGATAATATTGAAATGAAAATATTTCTTAAGTTACTTGATTTAAATGTATATTAGGAAATCACATAATTTAACCCTATCCAATATCATAATTTCCAACATTGCTCGTTTTTCTTCTTTCACCTTCCACCATTACTTATTCAACATCACTTGCAGAAGCAGGTGAATCTGTATCATTTGTATTTTTCACTCTCGTCTTTTTATTTAAAACGGGACATTTCTAGCTTATGCACCTACAAATTAGAGCCATGCTTGTCTACAGTCACTATTGATTAAGTTTCCACCAGATGTGAGAAGAGACAATAGCAATCACAGTAAAATCTACTGGCTAATAACAAACTTAACTAAGCCTGTTCTTCTTAATCATTCTCAATCTTTGCCCAGGACTACATTACTGTATATAAACAAAGAACTGATGAAAGAACAACTTAAAGAAAAGTACCTTGTCTCTTAAATAATAAAATTAATTTCACAAAGTTATTAGAACAATGAACAGGAATATAATTTTAACAAACAGGATCAAGAAGTAAGAAAAACCCTTACTTTTTGCACATAACACAGAGTTTCTTTGGAGCTGGTTTATGCGAAAATGATGAAAGGCAAGTAGTAGAACAAAAAAGATGAACAGATCCTTTCCGCTGATATGCAGTCTGGCCCTTCTGCAAAGGTTTTTTGCAGTTAGCACATGTAACTTTAACCTGCTTTGAAGGCTGCTGTTGTGCAGGTGGTTGGAAGACTTGTTTGGGAAGAGATGCCACAGGTGACAGGGAATCTACACCTGGTTGCTTCTGATTCCTTGGAAATGAAGCTGACTGAGATATCCAGGAATCTTAAAAACACAAAATGAAGAAGTTAAATAAACAGCTTTAAATAGCTTACAATGATAGTAGGCTGGCATTAATCTGACAGTAAAGCATAGTATTGGACAGTTAGTGCAGGAAAAAACTACAAAAATTGTTCAACTGTTAACATACGAGGGACTGGGCTGCAATGATTTCTATACAGCCTAATTTTTAAAAAATATTATTTATGGTTGTGGAAATGGCCACAGAAGATTATAAACTGGGTAGGTTTGAGCATATTACTGTCTAGATCAACATTTTAAAAACGTTTAAAATATGAATTTTAAGTGTCCAAAGTGTCTTGAATTTAACATGATACTCAAAAGCAAGTTAAGCAATGTGAGACTACTTTCTACAATGGCCGAGAAAATAAGGATAACATGGAATTGATTTATTCATTTAAAACAAACGTCCTCCAAAGTTTAAGGAACAGTAGAAGGGGTTACATTTTAATTTCAACTACTAAAATGTAGGCAGTTTCCTAAGAAGCTTTAAGTATGTCTACATTTCCCTAGTTTGATATAAACTAGTGTCTTACTAAACCCTACAAAAATGTGTAGTAGTTGTCAAGCATCTGAAAAGCATCTCACTGTTTACATTCTGTGTCTATAATATACAGAACTAATGGACACCTACCTTGAGTAGTAGCCAAGGATTAAACTAGTATATAAATTAATTATCATTACCTTAATTTTAACCTGAGCATACTTTCTAAGATTCAATGTTAGCTACCTGCTTTGGGGAGTATTTTTTGACTTGAGGTACATTTTTCTTATATCTCTGCAACTGCAGTTCAAGTATGCAATGTAATTTCATTCTCATTATTTTTTAAGTTAAACATAGCTTCAATGAAACATTTGGATAAATATGAATTTCAAAGTTTTATAAGTATGATTTTTAACATACACAACCATAATGCATGGTTTACTTTACCATGGTTTGAACAAACCAAAAATGTATTTACACAATTTATTAAAGCATAAACCATGTTAAAGAAACCATAATGGCTGGTTCACTAAACATTCTAAACCAAAAATCAATGAAGTCACATTACAGCTTAATGTATATGTATCAGGTCTGTTTCACTCTTTGCTGCTTTAAAAATTGGCAGAATTATTCTTAGATAATTTTCATCTATTCTAATTTTGTGCATTTTAACTTGTTCTACATGTGTGAAAAATGGCTGTTTTGGGTGTTCTGAATATAACAACATATTTTGAGAGTTTTATTCTAAAACTTAGCTGTTTCTAGAAGCATTATTTTGAGTATTTGAAGCAGTGTGATTAAATTGTTGCTTGGTGGCTTCTCAATTAGTTGATTTTCTTAACTTTTTTCCAGCTTAGTCAGGATGTCAGCAGGGACCAGTCATATCTCAGCAGCATGCCTAACAGCTTGCCTGGTAAGTTACTATTGTTTTTGTCTTTTAAAAAATAACTTTGCTGTAAGCAAGTTAAGAATTTATGTGAGTTGATAATTGGGTTCCATCAATGTTGAGTTGAGCTAAATATTTTGCAGGCAGGTAACACAATGGGGCAATGTTGTCATTGCCATTGAGATAGTATACATAAAAAATCTCAATTTTGTTGGGGGTTTTTAGCATTGATGTACACATACACTCTATGTATCATGTTAATATTAGTCATACAGTTAAAAAACATCAATAATTCCCCTTTTCCTTTTGCAACTATCATCTATCTGTATGTGCAAGCAAAAATATCAAGACGGATCAAGACAATTGCTTTTGTTGGGCTTCTCTCTGACAGGTAAGCTGTGACAACAAAAAAACCCAATGCCTATAGCAAGCTAGATAAAACTGTTTAGCTGTTCTCTTTGGCCTGTTCTCTTTGCCCCATATAACCAAAGAATATGGATATAAAAAATTTAAAGAAATTTAAAAGAACTCTCTTTCTTCTTTTGGTTGAAGAGGGTGGGGTGGGGAGACAACGTTTTGGATAGTTGATGAGAATGCACTTGTTTTCTTATTTTTTCCTATGGGATTTATTGTAATGTTCCAAACATTTTATAATCATGGCCTTGACTAAATTTTCTACAATCTGAATAGTAGGCAACACTTATATAGACTACTACCTCACCTATCTGAGGTGGGAAATTATTGAACAGAAGCTGATCTCAAGTTCCCATTATTTCTGATGGCCAGGACATGCAAAATGTTTCAAGCTTTGTTCTGACACAGCACTTGAACTGTTTTGAGTTTTGTTCCAACAGAGTGCAACCAACTTGAAACATTTTGGCAAAATGTTTCAAGCAGTGTTTTGTTCTGAGCTAGAACACACTGTCTATTTGATACATACTGGCTAATATTAACCATATCCATAATTCCAATCTCTTGCTTTCAAGGTTATTTTTATCTTCCTATTAAAAATAATTGCTTGGACAGCATTTTCTGCCATTGGTTATGTCTCAGAAAATTTAGCTTCTGTATCACAGTTCAACATTAAACTTTCTTGTGTAACAATTGATAATGGAGTCAAATTCTACTCATGGCAAAAATGTAGTTGAATTTCCATCCTTTTAAGTTCAACTCAGTACTATATTTATTTAAACTGGAGTATTTTCAAAGAACTTATAATGTAGTTATAATGCTACTTATATAAATTTAGATTTAGACATTGTGGATTTCAAGTGTATCATAAGCAACATCATGATCAACTGAGTTCCAACAGACTATGATGACTGTGGGTTTGCCAACCTGTCTTCTCTGCAGATACCCCATTACACTATGTTTTCACAAATCATATTGCTAAATCAGCTTGTAAAATTATCATAGTATCAAACAATAATGCAAAAGGTAATGTAGATATTATATACCTGTCCTTAGGAATGTTATTTAAAAGCTAGTCATGCCCATGAAACATTGTAGATGCACAGAAAATATAACACAGGTGTGGACCTCATTCTTGTTTCTGTGGTTTCATGTATCTGAAGTTGATAGCTATAGACCTGAATTCATTAGCCAAGGTAAATGATATCACGTATCTATAATTTTTGGCACACAAACTTCACATCCAATTTCTATCCCCAGATAATTCCTGGCATCTGCACTATTTTGATGTTATATGATAATTCTCTTTCTGCATGTTACTTCCACCACACTGAAAATGAGCAAGTGCACAGCAGAGGAAAGTGGCAAATGCTTTCTCAAAGCTGAGATCCTACTAAGTAGAATAGAACAAAGCATCTGACCTTCAACCCGATGGAGAGCAGCATCAAGTTCAAAAAGTACAGTGGAACCTCAGTTCACGAACTTAATTCGTTCTGCGACTCTGGTCGCGACCCCCACTTGGTGCGGACC